GAATTCAGATATTTGCCATGTATCTATGAGTGTACTTTCTCCTTAAGAGCTAAAATTGTTCTATTATTTAAAAAAAAAAAATTAACACCGTTAGACAAAATTTTAACATATATGTTAATTTGTTATCACATAAACTATGTTGTTCCAATCAGGTCACCCCAGTATAGAAAAGGTTCAAATTTTGATGCTCAAAACAAAGAAACCGAGTTTTCCAGAGGAAAACCAAAGGAGATTTGCAGAAAGGTTTAAGAAATCAGGAGTTGAAGCTCAGCTTAAGCAACATTTCGTGTTCAATTCCTATTTTCTTGTATCCTGATATATCAGCATTTGTTACGGTGCATTTTTTTTCGTCTGAAGCAGTGGTTTAGAATTCAGATATTTGCCATGTATCTATGAGTGTACTTTCTCCTTAAGAGCTAAAATTGTCCTATTATTTTTAAAAAAAATATTAACACCGTTAGACAAAATTTTAACATATATGTTAATTTGTTATCACATAAACTATGAGGGGTTAATTGAAACAATTAAAAGTACAAGGTGGTAATTTGAAGTATGACCAAAGTTTAAGGGGCTAAGTTGTATTTTATTTTAGCCTTTGTTTTATAAAATTGATTAAATGGACAATCTGATACGTCCGATCTGTTGTGGGTTTGAGAATTACCAAGTATAAATTTGGGGTTTATTGTTTCTTGTGTTATAAAAGATAATTTTATCTTCTTTACACATAAAAATATATGGGATCTATGTGAAGCCATATGAGGAGAAGAAAGAAAAATAAAAAATATGGGCCCCACACACTTTTTTATGTGTATGTAGAAGATAATTTTATTCTCTTACAACATGAGAATCATAAAACCCTTATATTTATTGGGTTTAAAGACAATTGCCCAATGGGTAAGTATGCTAAATTATGGTGTAGGGCCATGTAACCTATGAGAGAACATTGCGTGCTCCCGGTCCACATGCACTGAAAGGGGAGAGAGAGAGAATGTTAGGAGAGAGCAGAGAAGACCACTGAATATTTTTTCGTAACCTAGGGCCCGTGATGGGTGAATGCTATGAAGTTAGGATCCCCTCTATGCTCTTGATACTCCAAACTCTTCTCATGAAGGTATCAATTATAAAGGAGTATGAGTCGAAGGTAAGGGTGCAAATAGGTTCGATTGGACTAGGTTTTGGTCTTAATAGGTTAGACTTATGCAAAATATTTTGAGTATAGCCTAACCCATTAGCCTGGTGTAGGCTATAGTATAGGCTTGGTCTGGCCTATATTTAAAAATAAAAGGTATGACATAGGCGTATTAGTCTGTTTAAGCCTATTAAAATTAGAAATAAAAAATTAAAATAATTTTTTATTAATTAAAATTATATAAACAATTATTTTATTTTATTTTAATTAAAATAAATAATATGATATAAACTGATCTATAGACTTATAGGCCAAGCTTTATTCAAGTAGGCCTATGGTTTGTTTTTTAAACAAGCTTTTTTTGTAGGCTCAAGCCCATTCTATTTACTAAATATAACATGTCAAACCCGACTTGATGTAAGCGAGGCCATAGACCTTTGATAGGCCATATGATCCATTTATACCCCTAGTGGGAGGTCCTAACTTTTTTGTAATCATTGTTGTTCTAAACTATCATATTTGGCGTGCTTGGCAGGCCTAACCTTCCACTCCTACTAGTGAACGTAAATCCTCTTTAATTACGTTGATCTCCCCTTAGTCTCCCTTTCATATCTAACCCTATCACGTGATAAGTCACATTATCACACATCACTATGGGCCCACATGGCAAAATAATTTTTGGCTCAATCTCTTCATGCTAAGGAATCATTTTCCCACTATATATACCTTACTCCCACATTGACGAAACCAGGCTTATGGTGGTCCTCCCATTAAGGGAGTGACACTTGGAATTTTTTTTCTCTCTCCTCATTCTCTCCTTTCCCTCTCTCTCCTCCGCCCCACTCAATGAAATGTGCTCCAAGAGCACTTAAGTAAACCTTCACATTGACATGTCATCATCTTCTCAATTATATTCTCACTGTTATTGCCACTTTACTGGAGTTCAACCTCATATAGCCAAAGTTGATTATTAGGAAATATGTCTTAGCTTAGGTTGAATCTTGATCGATCTAAGAGATGTTGCGTTTGATCACACATGGCTGAACCTGGTCTAGCTAAAGTCTGAGATGAATATACAATGGGATGAGCTTTGATGCGAGTTACTCTAACAAGGTGGATATGCTGGTGCTTGAGATTTTTGCTTGGCTGGAATAAATGGGGGAGGTACTTGTAAGACACTCCAAGACTCAAGTCAATATTTGATCAATGAGTTTAAGTTATAATGGAGAAGATGATAATATTTGGATATTGAGTCTTTTTTTATATAGTGATGGCATGACATGCTTATGCCGCCTTATGACAACATTCAATCCCATTAGTGGGTTCAGGTAGCCTATGTAGTTTATCTCGTTTGCGAGATTCCTGTTTGTGGGCTATGCTTCTTATGTTTAGCTGGAACCATGTGTCTATCCTTTAATCATTGGTTGTTGAGGAGGCATAAGGGCTCTGAGTTGTTGTTATCCCATCTATATGTCTGTAAGATAACATGCACACGTGATTAACATGTTTCCTTACTCCTTAAGCCTTCTTTATTGGGCCTTTTGGGCTGTACAATATGTTGGACCCTTGAACCGGCTAAGTATAAGTCCACATCAAATCTCAACCTATATTGTGGAGAATTGGAGAAGACTTGACTCTTGATTTATAACCTTGTAAATATTCAGAAAAATAATAATATATTAATATTGGGAATCATATTTCAGAAAGAAATATTGAAATTTTAAGTACGAGAAATCTTTATTAGTTTAAAATAGGTTAAGTGAAAAAAATCATGAGTGAAAAATACTTTTAAAATTTTGGATTGAAATGCAATACAGTTTATTATGTTAGTCATTGACGAAAGTCTCTCCTACTCTTAGGCTATTAAACGATTTCTTTACGTACTTGAATATCAAGAAGCAATAGATTTTGTATTACAAATCAAACCAATTGGGGTGTGATTGCACTGATGTGTCTGTATTTTTTAATGGGATAAATTATTCTACTTATTATTTTTTCTGTTTATCTTTGCTTACCACCATCCAACACCGTTAGATCAGAATTTTAACTAACATTTATTTTTCTCTCTCTTATTGAGATTCTGATCTAACGGTATTGGAGGATGATAGACAAAGATAAAAAAAAAAAATGATAGATAGAATAATTTTTTTTTTAATAAGGCAATAGTAGAGGTGATTGTGGTTGCAACTTGCAATTACACAGTAGTTAATTAACCCGTGAACTTAGTTAATCATACGAATTAGTGGTCCACTAATGCCTTGTATATATAAAAAGTCAAAATATAACAACTTCCTACACTTTTCCAACAACATAGATTGCGCCACGCGAGAAAGTGTTTCATCCGTACAAGATGAAGCCACGAAACAGTTTGCCTCCTGCTTTTACCAATAAAAAAGAGAAAGAGAAAAATCAAAAGGTGAAGATTCCTTCTTAGGTTAAGAAGATATTAATTGGTGAAAATATAGAACACGAATTTTACATTTTATTAAAAACGTAAAGATGACCCACACCCAACGACTTAATAGTTTTACTTATATCCTTTTAAGAGAGATAAAAGAATAAATTATGAGGAAGAGAGAGTGGAAGAAAAAATTTATAATTTGAAATTTAAGAAAATATACTACATTTATGTAAAAGAACATATTTTTAAATGAAAAACACTAAACCCATAGTTTTATATTTCTATCCGATAATAGAATTTTTCTTCAAAGCAATGAAAGCATATTATTAAAGGATAGTTATTTTGCTTACTTATTTAATTTTCCTATCCTTATTATCTTTTAATATTATTAAATTTAAATCAATAGTCTTAAATATAATAATATTATTTATTTTATTTTTTCTCCCTTATTTTTTTAATTATATTAATTGTTTATTACCGTTGATTATATTTTAATCAATAATAATAAAAAGATAATAAAATTAAAAAAATTAAAAGAAAAACAATATAATTGTCCATTATTAAATAGTTCATTCCACGTACTAGTGGGAAGCCACAACGAAACTTCGAGGAAATTTGGTGTGAGACTGACCCTACTACTACTACTCAAATTCAAAGGATGATGTGGTCGCCTGGCGGCAACTATGGGCGTTTGATTCTCTAGTAATATGGTTTTAATCTTAAAGAGGATCCTTTAGTTAATTAAACTATTTTTTACTCTAGTAATATTTTTTTTATTTCATTTAATAAGTTTATTTTTTTAAAAAGAATAAAATAAAAAATAATTAAATATATTCTAAAATATTTAAGTACTAAATAATTTTAAATTAATTAAAACTTCTAAAGTTAAAAAACAAAGGGATACAATTTTTTTATTTCGTTGTGTGCCTTTTGATTCACACTCAAGTGTTGAATAGAAGGACGACAGAGATGACGGCAAAAACTTTCAATTTGCAAATGTAGGCACCTTTCTGGTATTCCGCAACATTATTTTTATGGTTACATCTTGCATAAATTTTTCTTGCTCTTCAATCAATTTAAAACGCTGGATTTAATGAACTTTATTGAAATTCAGCGATTGCCTACCAATTATAAGCTCATGATAAAATCAGTTCAAGTAAATGCAAACACTGTTAATAGATTGATTTGACAATAACACGAAAAAAAAAAAAACGATTCTCGAAAACTGGCATTGATGGTTCGAAAATTTAAAATATTGAAGTTTAGATTCTAAACTCGTAAGTCGTAAATCCTAGTAATAATAAAAATAAAAATAAAACCATTGGAACATCAAGAAACCCAGAACAGCATTATCAGGATCGATTATGGTCCATCCACAAATGTTTTCTACTTCATAGAATTTCAATAGAAAATCGAAAGACACCAAGACATTAATGTGCAGGTAGAAGGTAATGCAAATAACAAACAATAGCCATAGTATTATTAGATATTCGTATTATATATAAAAGTAAAGAAAAACAAAACATTTTACGCGTATTATTTCAAAATTAACATAATCACACAGAGCCTTGGGAAACCTTATTTACCCCTTTAACATCCTGACCCATTGAAACCCCAGCCGATCTCATATCTGCGCTGACTGCCGGAGCAACCCCTTGGTACGGAGGCGCGTGGACCATCCCTCCTTGCGCAGTGTAGTAAACTTGTCTCCCACTTGCACTATCATACGCCACCTGCGCGTACGCAGCACCACCCGTATTATCCGGAACCCCAGCTGGCCTAACGACGCCGTATCCTTCTTGATACGCGGAAGGTCTAACCGGCTGTGCCGGTGAAAAGCTTGCCTGACCCGCCGACGAAAACGCCGCTTTTTGTTGCTGCACGCCGCCGTACACCGGCTGTTCACGGTAACCATCAGAAGCCATTCGTTGCACAGTATAGTACCCTTGGTTTACCGGCGCCGTTGGTGGACGCACCATCGGCGCATGATAGAAAGTCCCCGTCGCCGGGATCATATAAACCGGCTGGTCCCCTCCTCCGGGAGCGGTAGTCACCGTCGTCTGAAAACCATCGCCGGAGAATTGCTTCTCCGGCCAGTAACCCGCGGGTTGCGGCACGTTGGCCTGCGAATTGGACTGCGGGGCTTTATCCTGCATCTTCTGCAAGTAATAATCGCCACCACCGGCGCCGCCATAACCTCCGGCGAAACCGTCTTCACTTCTTCTACGATACAACGTTTGATCATTCTCAGATATTTGCAAGCGCTGCAACTCCTGATGCAGCTGCTGCTGCCTCTGATACGGGTTCACATTCGGATCCGATCCAACAACCCGATCCGCAGCAGCACCACCGCGAGATTGGTACTCAGGAGGCGGCGCGACAGGCTCAGGCACCGGATCATGGAACTTAACGGCGGCGAAGGAAGGAGGGTGAGTTGGAGGAGCAACAGCCTTGTCGAGGCCGAAGAGGAAGTCGACGTTGGGTTGAGGCTTAACCGGGTCGGGTTGAAGAGGAAGAGGACCCGAATTGCGATCACAATCGGTATTAACAGCTGTAAAAAGGAAAAGCCTCATCCTAACGGGTTTAGCGGGTGGGCGATAGAGGCGATCGTACTCGTGCATCATGTGTTCGAGGTCGTCGTCGTTGGAGACGGAAATCAGAGCGTCTAGGTCCTCGCCGGGAAGTTGGTACTTGAAGGTAACTTCTTGTGGCGGCGTGTCGCAGAGTGCGGAGAGCTTCGAGAGGAACGTCGGGAACTTGATGTTGCGATCCACCGCCAATATCTTGGTTTCGCCGCCGACGTACGAGAGCTGGTTGTCGTGGGTGCGTGGCTGGATCTTGCCGCCGTAGCTGCACATGAACCTCGCCTTGTAGTTCTGCTGCTGCTCCTCCCACGGCGTCGGATTCTCGAAATCGATCTCCCTCGACCGCGGCGATGAGTCGCCGGAATCTGGGTACTGATAGTTCTCCATTCAGCACGGAGTGTCAGACTCAGACAGACACAGAGAGAGAGAGGGAAAGAGATAATGAGGGAGAGAGGACCTTTATGTATTTTGATTTTTAATTTTTTGAATATTTCGGGGATTTTTTAGTGAGATATTTATTTTGGGGGTTGGGTTTTGATGAGATGAGGACGAGGGTGTTGGGAGTTCTGGATGCTAGGGACACGTGGCTTGAAATCAGGTTAAGAGCGTGTTGATTATGGTGAGAATAACGTTTTTGTCTAGAGGTGCAGCTGGACTTTTTGGTGATAGGTTGCGAGGAGGGACCCACGTGGCATTGATTGAAAGAGTGAGTGTGTGTCATGTCATGTGTGAGAAGCGATAAGAGAGTGATTGCTCTTGTTGACTAGGATTGAACTCTCCCATTGAATAATGCGGCAGGGCACTCTCTCTCTCTCTCTCTCTTTAACATGAAATGAAAGCAAGAGGTTATGTTATGGATGCATGCATCACATGAAAGGAAATATAGTTGATTTGAGTAATATTTGATAGTTTAAATAAATCTCCTGCTCCAACGTATTTGCTTTTTTCAGAAAGAGAAAATACAAGTTACTATCAAAGATATTATTGACTGCGATTCTGTGGAAACCGGTAAACGAAAACGTAATTTTTGGTGGCAGTTACGGGTTTGGTTTGATTCAGAGTATAATTTCAACTGCTGTTGGTTGACATGAGAATTTTATCGATATATAGGTGATATATATAATTTTTTTCAAAAATTTTCAAAGAAATTGGTAGTCTTTTCTGATCCTAATGAGATTAATAGCTAACCCTACTTTTTTATGTTTAAAAAAAAAAAAAAAAGTAACTTTTGGCTTTGGTTGTAAACTTACAAGGGATAATAAGCAAAGGGTTTATTACGAGTGGAAGTATTAGTTAACAAAAACCCAATTGAATTATTTGTTGGTTAATACTGACAGAACTCAATTGATTCCTCATAATTGGAGTTGTATGCCTTGTAAGGTTGGCATCAAGTAATCAATTAGCCAAATTTTTATTTGCTTGTTGTTTGGCTCTTCACTCCAATTTTTTCAAACATTCTTATGAAAGTACACATATAGATGGGTAAACATGTAATTTAACGGGTCAAAATGATTAAACGTCATTATGAATAACTTATATCAATTATTTGTGTGAAGTTAATAAAATTTAAAAAAAAAATTAAGCATTTTAGTTTACGCCAATTACTAATTAAAAATAATCAACAATATCATAATTAATTATTATAATTATTCAATTTTTTAACTATTATTTTAAATTAAACATTTCATATAATATATGTAATAATTCATATTAGAATTTTAATATAAATTAAAAAAATATTTCAAATCAATATTTTTAAACTTTAATTATATAAATGAATTTAACATATCAATTGCTACTCAAATAAAATCAACTTAAAAAAAAATATTTTATCAACTTAAATTATACTCAATTCTATCACTGTCCGATGGCCCGCAATAATTTTATCCTCGGGCATGAATTGATACCCACAATAAAACAACTTTCACTGTGCCTGCATGTTCAATTGCTTAAATAGATTAAACAATTTAAATTGATAAGCTATACAGCTAGAGCTAGTGCAGACAAAAATGGGAAAACGTTGTTGCTATAAAGAATAATGGTTCCACTTATCATCAATTGCTCTTGCATGATTGTCAATGTTATTTTGTTACTCTAATTATGATATGGAAGAAACAATGGCATTGGACCGGGACCGATTGAAGAGTACGAATATGGGCAAAAAACTAGAGGTCAAGTTAAGCAGATTCTACACACAGCAAAATTAAGGGAAACCCTACAATATTGAAGCTCTCACTACGATATCTACTTTTCTCTTTCCTTGTGCTTCTATGTGGACTGTGGTCCAAGAAAGTGCAAGAACGGTATTTTACCCCACTTCGTCATCCTGATATCATTTTGTATCTTTTGAAAGCTAAGTTATTAGATATTCTGTAATTTGTTTGCACACAATTATTTTGCTAAATGCTTCCTACCTCCCGTGGCACTTATCTTGCATGCAAATTTTGCTGGGACACGGTCCCTAAATCAGAGCGAAAGCAAAATTTTCAGGTCCGCACGTCGAGTTCAGAGCTTGGCACTTAGAGGTCGACTCATAGACACCAGATTGGCTAGATTGCAGAAAAAACAAAAAATGCAAAAATGAGATATACAAAGAGAAACACAATAATCTTTTAACCTAAAAAACCTCCCCTAAGGCAGAAGAGTAAAAATCACGAGATATTAGTCCAGAAAATCTTTCACTATGAAAAAGAAAGATTACAAATATTCAAACTTAATCAATAATAGTGATATTCTCAAACTTCTCTCTAGATGTACTTCAAAAATGCTCTTGAGCTAACTGAAAAATTTATTACAATGTTTGTTTACATAGGGTGAGGGGAACCCTTCACCTTCTTCTAGAATCTCCAATGATAAGGTGGATACCATTTATGGAGGTGGTTGTGTAGACATTGAGTCATACACCCATTAATGAAGTGCATGCTCAACCACCAGCATCAAAGGAAGGAACCACGCCCGAACTAATCTCCCCATTTTGACTTTAATGAGTCGGGTTCAGCACCTCGGCACCTTGACAATAATCTTCAAATTTTCTTACTGGTACCGGCTTGGTCATTAAGTTGGACCAATTCAATTCGGTGTGCACTTTGACGAGTTCGAGATGCCCATCCTCCACCACATCCTGAATCCTGTGATACCTCACATCAATGTGTTTAATGCGAGAGTGATAGGTTGAGTTCTTTGCTAGATGAATAGCGCTTTGGTTATCACACTTCAGCTTGTATTTGTCTTGATCATGGTCAAGTTCCAAAAGAAACTTCTTCATCCACAACATTTCCTTGCAAGCCTCAGTAACGGCTATATCAGTTTCTTATTATCTTGATTCTGAGAATTTGCTATGCAGAACTCAAAGCCTTCTTCAGGGTGGCTATCCTTGATTTATTTTGCCTTACAATTAACATATAGTCAATAAATAAAAGTAAAGTCAGAAAATCTTCAACCTCATACCTTTTAACAAATACGTAGTGGTCGGCCTCCATCTTCATGAACTTGTGCTCGATCATGAAGGATTCAAATTTCTTGTACCACTGCTGAGGTGCTTGTTTCAATTCATATAGACTGTTCTTCAAATGACAGACTAGAACTTTTTTTCCTAGAGCTCAGAACCCTTCAGGTTACTCCATATATCTCCTCTTCAAGGTCGCCGTGAAGGAATACGGTCTTTAGATCCATTTGTTCAAATTTAAGGTCCATTGAGGCCGTCATAACTAAAATAGTTCGGATCGAAGTCATTTTCACAACTAGAGAGGAAATTTCTTCAAAATCAAATCCTTTCTTTTGATTACATCCTTTCAATACGATTCTGGCCTTGTATGTCGGCTTTTGGTCGTTCTCCTCATGCTTGATTTTATAGACCCGCTTATTCTTCAAAGCTCATCTCCCTTGGGGCAGCTCGATCAACTCATATGTCTGGTCTTCATGCAAGGACTTCATCTTGTCGTGCATTCCTTTCTCCTATTCCTTCTTCTCAAAACTCGCCATGGCCTCATTATAACATTGAGGTTCTCTATCTTCAGCAACAACAGTGTACTCGTCAGGTGGGTATCTTATAGAAGGTCGTCTCACTCAAGTAGAGTGTATGAGTTGATTTTCAAGTTGAGAGTCTAGCCTAACATTCTCATCGCAGACCTCAGGACGACATGCATCAGCTTATCTTTCAGCATCACCTTCAGCAGGTGGTTCTTCTTGTTGCTGGTCATTTTCATCAATTTCTTGTTTCTTTTCTCCCCTTGCTTTAGCTCAGACAGGAGTAACGAGTTCTTCACCTCGAACAGTAAATCGGACTTTGGACTTCAAGATGTCTTTAATTGCTTCATCCTTTTGGAAGACTACATATCAGCTTCTCACCACTTTTCTGTTCACAGGATCCCAAAGTTTGAATCCAAACTCGTATCTCGGCAAACCGAGGTATATACATTCTTTTGTCTTCACATTAAGCTTGCCCTTTCATCTTTGGGGATATGCATGAAAGATCGACATCCAAATACCTTCAAGTGATCATAAGTCGCTTTCCGACTTGATCATACTTCTTCCAAAATTTCTCCTTCTAATGGCAATGATGGTGATAGATTTATTAAGTCAACTGCAGTTCGAATTGCTTCACCCAGAATGATTTCAGTAACCCGACATGATATAGCATACTTCAGACACTTTCTTCAATAGTTTGGTTCATCCTTTCAGCAACTCCATTTAGCTGAGGAGTGTTTGGGAGCATTTTTTCCAATCTTATTTTGGCCTCTCTGCAATATATATCAAACGAACAACAATATTCACCACCATTGTTAGAATGAACCACCTTCAGCTTCTTCCCAGTCTCCCTTTCCCCCATTGCATGGAATCCTTTAAAGGCTCGGAGAACCTGGTCTTTAGACTTCAACAAATACACCTACACTTTACGAGAACAATCATCAATAAAAGAAACAACGCTTTGATCTCCGTCAAGTGATTTTTCAGACATAGAGAAAACATCAGTGTGGACGAGGTCAAGGATATACTTGCGTCGTCTGGGCTGATTCGGTCTTACAAAAGAAACTCAGTGCTTTTTTCCAGCTAGGCAGTGCATGCAACTTCCCAGCACTTGGCTCCTTAACCCAGTCAGAAGTCCTTTCTTGTTCAAAACTTGGAGCCCTTTTTCACTCATGTGGCCGATGCGCTTGCAAAACAACTCCATACTAGGTCCTTCTTGGACATAGTATGCTTATCCATTATTGATCTTTTCTTGCATGACATACAAGGAGCCTTTTTTCTTTCCTCGGGCAACCACCAAGTGTCCCTTGGCCAATTTCCATCCCCCTCCGTCAAAATAGCTAACTATCCCTGCATCATCAAGTTTTCCTACCGACATTAAGTTCAAACGCATGTCTGGCACATGCCATACTTCTTTCAACACAAGTCGACATCTGACATCCGTGGTCATGGTTACATCACATACTCTAACAATCTTTCTTGTAACTTGATTTCCAATTT